TTTCATACCCAATATGCACAAAGCAAACATTTTTCCAACTTTTTTCGTATCTTTGAGAAATTCTTGATTCTCAAATGGAGATCCAATATTTTTCTCCAAAATTTTTCCCAAGATTTGACTAAAAGTTGAAAAAAGTTTGAATTCCAAGCTTTTCTCAAGTGGAGAATTCAGATTATTTTCTATAAAAAAATGTGACGTTTTTTTTTGAGAATTGGTTGGTTCTCTGATTGAGGTACACTTGAAAATAAACATTTGACCTTGGAATTTTTATAAGATCTCCACTTGATCTCCAACCCAAATGTTTATTGGGTAACTCCAAATACATATGTACATATGTAAATTTTTCTAATTGCTAAATGTCACCTACCGATCGATTGAGTCCACGCTGCTATGTATATCAAAATCCATCATAAGATCATCGGAACAAATGGATTCACATGGCGAGAGCGTATCGAGCGAATCGGCGCGCTCCATTACTGCCTTTCGCAGCGACAGTGGCGTGCGTAAGCTCAACTCGATCGCTTGTTGGAGAGCACTGCGTGCCTTGGATTGACTTTTCAGCGAACGCATTGAACCGGTATTTTCCATGAGTGTTGGTGTATCCGTCTTATCTTTGTGCGAAGTTAAACTATCGACTAGGTCGTGCGCCTCGCTGTTAAACAGCAATGCCGGTTGATCGGCGATCTCATCGTCAATCAAGTTGCCGCAATCGGAGAGTGATAACGAATGTGAAGCGTGCGTTGGAGTGCCCGGTGAGATGGGACTACCCATCTCCAGTTCAGGTGAAATCTCATCGATGTCCTTCTCTTGCAATTCTTCGTTTATTTTGTGCTTCTTCTGCTTGGTTGCCGCCTCCTCAGATTCTGTGCTGCTCACCAAACTGTCGGTGGGCGAGGTCTCATCATCTAAAAGATAAGTGCTGCCAGCTAAAGCCATTTCGGCAAACTTCGTCTCATTAAGGGTATTGTAAAATGTTTTAGGACGATCAGGTTTATCCATATCTTGATTTTCGGCAATAGTTGTGTTTTCTGCATTACTTCGTAGTACAGCGCGTGTTGTTGTACCAGTTAGGTTGTTCGTCGTTGACACAGGTTCGGGAAACGAAACTGGAAAGTGGTTGGTAGTAATTTAGTATTAAAAAGTGTGAATCAAATATTAATTATTCACATACATAGTGTACTGGCTTGCATTTCAGTTACTATACCGCTTATATCATCGTCGTTTAGATCGACTGACATATGCATAGCTTTCTGCTTCTCATTTTTTTCAGTATCCGTGTCCTTATCTTTATCTTTGTGGACTTCTTCTTGTAATTTATTGCTATCTTCGCTGCTAATACTGAGGCTGCTGCAATCTTTCACGGCAAGCGCTTCGCCGGCATTGCACCAGGATAGCATTATGGAGCTGCCTGGTGAGGATGTTTTGCTTGAACAGGTATTAATGTCCTTAAACTGTAAATGCATAAAATTTATGTTACTAAATTAAGTACACTGCCGTCTGTTTGTTGGCACTTACCCTATTGCCCTTTTCTGATGTTGAGCGATCCAAGTATAGTTTTTCTTCATCTACGCCTTCACTTTCCTCTGAGGAGTTTCGCGTTATGCTACACTGGGCTGGCGCCGTAGTGGGACGGGGTTGTCCTTTATTTAATAGAAATAAAGAATTTAAATGGGTTTTGCAAAATATAGTCTCTGAGATACTCGTAATATTAAAATTGTGAAGGAAGGATACCGACAAAGAATGGAAACCCTCCCAGAGACCAAAAGGTGCTTACTCGGATCTCAAGGGTATATTTTAGCTGTAGTTGGGAATCTACTTATATATGAAATATATAAATAACGTCGTCGCAGAGTTAATATTAAGTAGTGACTTAAAGCACTGAAAGCCACGACTAAGGTTATGCGAAAATCGCATGAGAGCTCCGAAGTGGCACTCACCGTCACAGGAATGGCTCCGGACACGCTATATGATATTATTCCAGATTCGTCTGTTAACTGCGGACCTGGTACTTTGCCAGTTAATTATTAAATATCTAATTCGTGACTTTCCACGATCGGTGGCGTTAGCTCGATAGTTGGAAAATATTCATGATGCGTTTGAGAGTCAAACACAATGCGTTGCTCCCTCGAATTATTGTTTACTTATCTCAAAATGATTACCCTATTTCATGAAGTCGACAGGCGTTTGCATTAAAATACTCTACAGGACTTTACAGATGGGCTGTAGCGCACTTTATAGTAACTTTGAAGTAGCTGTTGTTAATGGCATAGGCATTGGATCTGCCAAGGTTAGAACCTTCAAATAGTGATTATTCCATATAGTATCTATGTATTTGGGTGTTTTTCGAAAAATTTTAAGAGTTTATAATTAACTCGCAAATCATTTCCCCTTAACAAAAGACTTTTTTAATATTTTTTCAAAAATTTCTAGACACTTTTTACTTACCCACATCGACCTGCTTTGTTTCCTGATTGCCGTTAGTTGCACTCCTCGTGCCGCCAATTCCACCATTTCGCTCATAGCTTTCGCGACTCAGTACAGTATTGGAGCGCACAAGACCACAGAGTGGTAGTGGCACGGTTTGATTCTCATTGGGTAGTTTCGGCAAAGCGAGCGGCTCTACAATCGAACTAGACTCGCTGGACAACGGATCATCCAGATCGCGCACTTCGAATTTGTGACGTCCATTCATGACCATTTGCAAGTTTCGCGGACGACTGCGGCTACGTTTGGGCGAAGCTGTACGACCTTTAATATGGCCAGCGCCGCTCGAAACAGAACTATCCAATGCCATATCCATGCTGGCAATACCTGAATCCGCAGAGATCTCACGACTACCAGTGAAGCCGCGGCGCGTATTGTTAGCCATTTGCTTAGCGGTCTTCAGGTCCATCGGATGCCCGCCGGGTGTATGCGCTACACTGGCGGATGCCACTATAGTTAAAGGGTGTTGCGATTGGACTTCTTTGGCGCGTGCTCCCGTCAAAGTGCTAGTCATCGTGGGCGATGGTGTGTAAACGCTACCTGGTGTAGTTGGTGTCGTGGCACCTACACTTATGGCCACTGGAAACTCTGGTTTCGGCAAACTGACTGTTTGGAGTGTAAACTTTGAAAAACTGGCTGGCGGTGCACGCGGTGTGGGGCGAACGCTGCAAGTGAAATATTGAAATTTGAAAGTTAATTACATATGTATGTACCAAGAGAATTTTTGTGCAATTTGTCAGGCTGCATATATGTATGTATGTATGTACTCACATAACATTTGTGTGCATGCCCGTAGTGATGACGTTTCGCGACTGATGCTGTTGCGGCTGGTACGTTGGCTGATGAGTCCAACTGTTGGTTCCGCCACGTCCACTACCATAGCTGCCATATGTGCTGGGCTGTTCGAAGAACTGTCGCCGCTGATATTCGATTGTGCTGTTCTGACTCAAATTGAACGTTATCGATTTGGGTTGTGATATTTTTGGGCGGCCAGCCACATCGGTGGCGCTGCCCGACTCACTAGTCTCATCACCTGAAGTCAATGCCCGGCCAGCATGTGCACTCTTCGAGCGGCGTTTCACTGTAAAATGTCGACAGCCAAAAATTTGTTAGTGTGTGAAGTAGAGTGTGCGCGAGTAAGTTTTAAATGCAATAGTGCCGCACACTCGATTTTTATTTGGTTGCTTTATATTTGTACTTTTTTGTGACTTTTGAATTGTTTATATTGGCTTTTAGCCTAAATTGAAAGTAACACACTGCACGATTGCGACATTCGCAACACTTGCAGTTAGACCTTGCAACACAATCGCAGCACAGCTCAGCAACAGACCTCTAACAACTGATTTACCGGTGCGCTACTCTTGCTATCTACCGCCTGTTCCTCTTGGCCGCCAATTGCTTTTTTAATTGAGTTCATGGACTTGTCGCGCCATCACACTTTAGTGAATGGATACATTTTGCTTACCCAGCGCTTTAAAAAAGTGAGAGAACGAAAAATTTATCGACTTAGGAGCAATCACAGACAGCGCAAATAAAAACATTTACATAAACAAATCAAATTAGAAGTAGCGAAATTGGATTGCTCTATGACACATCGCTAATGATTTATGCATAGTCAAGAAAAGTATGACCCGAACTGGAATAAGGATCGTCTGAATAACGTACACATGCGTCTCTCCATTAGAGTGGACTTACTGGAACGTTTTCCGAAAACACATATATTTTCGCACGAGAAATGTGAGATTGCGAATGAATTTTTTTGTAATAGATCCTGTTCGGCATATATGGAATCTTTGTGCCAAAGAAAATTACAAAAACGACCGTAATTTTCGAAATTTCGGACAAAAAAAATAAAAATAAATCTTCTCTTTTTCTTCCGTGTCGTCATCAAGTCCGCTAGTTGCTGGTTAAAGCTGTATTCCAGCCAAAGTACGGAAACAACATCGCTATCAGAAGTTCCTCTCTTCAATCGTAGTGAGTGGAGGTAATATTTGCTAGATTTTATATGGAAGAAAACCCCAGCACTTATAAAAAATCAACGGTTATTTTTAGACACTTGAAGCTTGCATATTATTGTATTAAAATGGAGTGGGTTATAGAACTATATATTCAAGAAAATTCTAACGATTCTGAGAATATGTTTAAAATTTGGATGACATTTTTTATATTTTTTTAAAAGTTTTTTACAAAGTTTTAAACTTTGGTTTGTATGGGTTTTGTTACAGAATGAACTATATTTCAATTAAACATTCTTAAAATAATATATAAACAAGAGTCGCAGCAAAAACACCTTTTAAATTGGTGTGCTAATGATATGGCCGATACTGTATTCGTCAGGAACTTAAGGCTATTACTAATTTTTCTAAATTTTTGAGGTGTTAAGCTAAATTTATATCGCTCATTGATCTTCTGTTTTCAGGATCCCCTTTCATTTTACTTTAATTTTATTTTATTTGATTTAGTTTCTCAATAGATATTTGTAGTTGCAACTTGCAATGGAAAGTCAGCTTTTGGTAAACAGTTCTTTTACGCGAATGAGCAACCAAGTAAATACATTTGTTATCCGGCACTTTTGAATAAATCTAAAATACTTCTAATTTTGAAAATAGGAAAAAGGTATACAAATTTTGCTTTTGCAAAATAAATTTTGCATTGGGATGCAATTTTCCCCAGTGTGTCGTCCACATTAAAAAGAGTAGATGTGCCTACCGAAGGTTATGATCGGTAATTGGGCTTGCCAGACCTAAACTTCCGAAAGTGGTACAGATAAGAACCAATTGGGGGACTTGGGGGACAAATAAAACTAAATGCGTTCAACAAAAAAACTAATTTATTCGCTTATGGAACAGAAAAACCGGTCGAAAAAAAATGCAATATCATTTGAACAAAACAAAGTTACACTGGTGATCAAAACTGAGTGCATGGTGATTTTATTTTAAATATTTACAATGTTTTTCAAGTAAAACGTTTTGTTATATTTTATAAAAATATTATTCCTGCTTTAGCCAAAACCATAAAATTGATTTAAACTTTCAAACTTAATACAAACCCTAGAAAAATGCAACAAATTTCCATAAAAATTTTGGACTTTTTAATCTGAATTCTTGGATATGCAGTTACATGGCTCAAGTTTTACTCTACACTAATGTCAAATCATTGGGAAGGAGTTTTCGAGAATTCTCTGCCAAGGAAACGAGGGCATAACAGTATCTCCTCATAACATATGATGACTCATACTGTTCAGGGACTCGTATCAAAGTAGGTAACTAAAATCTGAACTTGAGCCATGCTTACCAAATATCTGCATACATATTAGGGCGGGTTGATTTGTATGGATGAAAAAAAAAAATTAAAAATTGTATAGCAAAAACGTAATCTACATTAAATTCTAAGAAAATTCTCTGAAGAAACCATAGGTCTAAAATCAAACCCTAATTCGCGCCTCTCGACTTGAAAATTTTTTTCCTCTTCTTTCGCTAAAATTATTTTCCTTTTTTGAAATATATTATGTTTTATTATATTATATTATAGTTTATGCAATACAGGTTTGGTTTGAGACTAATAAAAATATTCAATTATCAAAAAAGCAGTTGAACCCCAATTTGCATCTCCTATTATTTGCGTTCTATATAAAAAATAGTTAGAACACGTTTAATGAAAAAAAATTTGGGTGTAGAAAAAATATAAAGTGCAAAAGAACTACCTTACTAAACAATTTTGTTCAGAAAATTCGATTTCTTTTTGGAAAAACCTATTTTTTCTAACATTTACTTTTTTGGCAAAGGCGCGGATTAGGATTTTATTTTAGATACATGGTTTCTTCGGAGAATTTTCTTAGAATTTCATGTAGTTTACGTTTTTGCTATACGATTTAAAAAATAAATCAACCCGCCCTACTACATATACATATAGAAACTAATAAAGCTAACTGGTTAAAAATATTGCAAATAGAAGTTTAAAAATTAAATTGTCGCTATGCGCACTCAATTTCTCTACCATGTTTCGCCTACTCATGCCACATCTTGTTAACACTGCCTGTTGCAATTTTCTTTTACTCCGCCTGCCATATCATATCTTCATCTAGTTACGTATGTATGTATGTATGTATGTATTTCATGTCACTTCTTAGCATTGCTGCGCCCACTTACAATTGCTCACAAGCGGTTTTTGTTGTCCATTCACGCCCACGCCACCAATTCGATTGATGTTACCATTAATGCCACAATTATTGTTGTTTTCCGCATTTTCCTGCATGTCCATTTGATAGCGCTGCGCTAGACCAGCTGATGCCGGACGCGCAATATTTGAGCCGCGATAACCGAAACGCGACGCTACACCAGGCAGATTCGCTGGCTGGCCGGCGGCACCTGCGTTCGCGGTGCTTTGATTAGATCGTTGTGTAGTTGCGGCTGCCGCACCCATTTTCTCAAAATATACTTTCGCCAGGAGCTCTGTATCTTTTTGGGCGAATAATTGCGGTGGCCATTGGAGAGAGAAGGCAATAGAAAAAGTCAAAGAGGAGCAAGTTTTTGGCATGTCAGACAGTCATAATAAACCGATGTGAATCAAGTAAATAAATATAATAAAGTAAACAACGTAAAACTCTATCAACGCAAATTTGTTATTTATATGCAAACATACATACATATGTATCTATGTATGTATGTATTTTAATTGTGTTCTTAAATGTAAGCGTATGCTAAATTTCTTTGATTTTTCGGCAAGTGTGTCGGCGATGTATGTATTTCACAACCAAACACCTGTTGTTCGCCAAATTGACTATTTTTCGCCTGATGTGTTGCTCTGTGTGAACTGTATTGAACTTAAAAGAGTCTACATTCATACGAATAAATTTTTTAAGTGTGTATATATGTATGTATTTGCACGTAATGTATTATTCATGCATTCCTTGACGCAGTAAAGTCATTGCACTCACCTGCATTGCCATTGTCGTCCTGCTGTTGCTCGTCCTGCAACGTCTCCCCATTGCCTGTGTCATTTATCACTGCTCCCGTTTTTTCATTATCCTCACCCGAAGTGGTATTGCCATCGCGTGCCGTTGTTGTTATATTGTTGCACTTGTCTTGTTTCCTTTTTGCGTCACCGCCAGTTACACCGCCAACCCCGGCTTCAAGCAACTTCTTGAACTTTTTCGGCGTTGTATTGAGTTTCTTGCGAAAGCCGAAGGACATTGCTGTACCTTTGGTCTCAATAATGCCCACTCCAGCGCCCATAGTGCCGGTGGTGTTGCCGCCATGTTTCTTTGAATGCTTTTTACTCTCGGCCTGTCCCTGTAACGAGAAAGCGCATGTGTTGTACATTTTACTTTCAAAGCGGTTTACGTAATGTAAAATATTAATTCAATTAAGTGGATTCCCACCAAGACTTTCATTGCGTGCATTTACCAAAAAGCCTATGATCATTGTCCAATCAATACATATTAGGGGTTTTAGTAAATTTTAGGTGATATTAAAAGTTGTTATTAGCAGTAACTTATGAAATTAGCTTTGCAGAGTAATAAATATTTAGAGATCTAACCAAAGATCGAACCCACCTCTAACTAGGGACACGAATTTCGATACGATATGATACCATATCGATACTTTTGGCATTCGATACCGATATTTTTTACTCGATAGTTTTAAAACGATATTTTTTGGAATCGAGTACCAGAATCCTAGTATCGTATCGAATGTCATAAACTCAAATTAGTCAGCTTTCAGACACGTCAAGTTTTGCTTTCAAGTCTGCTCGTTCCAAGGCGAAGGAGGTGAGCAGAAAGGGGAAGAGTGCAGATACCTCTCATTTAAGGAACCACGAACTTGAATTCAATAAAAGTTGACGCGTCTGGAAGCAAATAGAAAACACAAAAGAGAATGCGAAAAAATTGCTTTCAAGACTTATCTGATTATCAGCTCTTCCCGATATAAATTGGGCTTTAAAGAACTGACATTTTTTACTATCGTTAGGATTGCATGTGGCGGGACTTGAACACGCGAGCTCGGTATTTTAAGTCAACACCTCAATCTCTACGTGTAAAAATAATAGATTGGCGCTTACAAAATATGTTAGCGTTTAACCGAGCTTCTCCTCCGATTTGTTGCGTGCGCCTTGATGTTGTGCCACAAAGGGCGTTTTTATGAGAAGCTGTTTTTCATGGCAGAAATACGATCGGAGGTTTCTAATCACTCAATGGGACGCTTAAAAGTTGTTAAGACAAATTTGGGTGTGCGTTCATATGTTCATATTATTTACAAATTACGTCTAGCAAACTCATCATCATCATTTTTTTGTGCCGGTTAATTCCGAATCAGGTAGAAGTTAAGGCCTCATCTATTTAATAATAACTGTAGTTAGGGACACGAATTTCGTTGCGTTACCATACCATATCGATACTTTTTCCATTCGATACTGATATTTCTTTATTTGATATTTTCACAACGATACTTTATGAGACCGACTTCCCGAACCCTTGTATAGGATCGAATATTAAATGCACATTACAAAGATAATGTGAATAATAATATATTGTGCATTATATTAATACTATAGTACATGCGCTGCCTACTGCAGAACACCACCGGTAACATTTTTGTGTTACACCTTGAGTTCCAGGAAAGCCTTCGCCATTAAATTTATGCACGAGTGAGTACCGCGCTTGGCTTCCACGCGTACGAACTTTTTGAAGTGAAATTCTTTACCGGCGGTTGGTTGGTTGAGAGTAAATTGGCAAATTCAACGAAAATTGCACACAGAAATTGTGCAACGGAAATGGTTGGGGCTGAAAAAAGTGCGTCTTGAGTGTATGCACATGGTATTGATTTAACAAAAACTTGGTAATAAAATGTTAAAGAGTAACACTTAGAAAAAGACCAATACAAGAATGAAAGTAAAGATGAGTACGTACATAGATACAGAAAGGATAAAGGCAAAGGTAAAAATCAAAATAAAACAAAGACGCGTAATGATAAAGACTAAAATGAAGATCAAGGTAAATTTAAACACTTTTCTTATATAAGGGCAAAGGTGAAGGCAATATGTAAATGAAGAAAATGGTAAACATAATAGTAAGAACAAAGATAAATATAAAGGAAAAGATGAAGGTGAGGATACCGATAAAAGTAAAGATGAAGATAGAGGAAGAAAGGTTAAAATAAAGGTAATTATAGAGAAAATATGGAGAAGAATATGGAGACACAGACTCAATCTGTGAACTATTTTGGATTTTAGAGATTTTCGTGATTCTCGGGACTTATCGATATAATAATCGATATTTTTATCGGTTTTGTTATCGATATTTTTATTGATTTTGTTATCGATATTTTTTTTAAATTTGTTATTGGTTTTGTTATCGAATTTCTTATCGATTTTGTCATCGGTTACTTGTCGATTTCTTATCGATTATTTATCGATTTTGTTGTCGATTATTTTTCGATTTTTGAATCGATTTTTCATCGATATTGTAATCGATATTTTTATGAATTTTCTAAGTGAATTTTGTTATAGATTTTTTATCGATTATTTATCCATATTTTTTATCGATTTTGGTATCTGTATTTTTATCGATTTTGCTCCAATATTATTATCGATTTTGTTATCAATATTTTTTATCGGTTTTGTTATCGATATTTTGTTGGATGTTACTATCGATTTTGTTATCGTTTTAAAGATAAAAATAAAAATAAAGGAAAACAGAATACCACAAATGTAATTAGACTTCACTTCTCCAGTGTGGCCCAGGCGCACTTACTATTTTTTTGGGCTTGACGCGAAAATCCCGGGTCTACCATAGTAGTCCACGCTATTGGTGTACTGAATTTATAATTTGTTTACTTTGCATAAACGGTGCATCAGTGTTCTTGGAATCTAAAATTTAAGTTCATGGTCGTGAACGCAATAGATTTAGCTATATTTTTTAACTATAACTTTCATTTAAATGTATAAATAAAAAACATTTATTAACATTTTAAAATGGTAGGTCACGCGTGCATTGGTGTAAAAAGACATTGTAAGACAAAAGCTGAAAAAATAAAATGGAAAATTCAAAAATTCTAAAAAGATTTTCTTTGGGCAAGACTATTTTTATATAATTTGTGGGGGTTTAAACCGCCCTGTTGGAGAGGAATATGCATAAAAAAATTTTCTATCATTTAGTTCACGATAACAATGGTAGAAAATATTTTAATATTCCTGTAAAACTTGTTTTCCTTGCAATTAGACGAACGAAGGGTATTGTGGATTCAGCGGCAATATTTAAAAAAAAAACTAGAATCATTTAAAATAGCGTTTCAAGCAATTATAAGTAGTATGCAATAAATTTTGAATCCTACGATGAAAGGATTGCGTGCAATTTAGTATTTAAGTTTTCAACTAAAATGAACTGTTCGTTTTATGTCAAGTCCTATATTTGCACATTACATTAAACGATTTTGTGCTAAAAATGAATTTGTTTAAACTTTGAATGCATATAATTTATGTTTTCAAACGTACAAACCTAAAAATTACAGTAGCGAGTATTGTGGCTTATTCGTATTTTCGATGTGTCCGCAATTGGTGCTAAGAGTTTTAAAATTTTTTATTATTTTTTTCTGGAATCTTGATATGGATTGTCAGATAGTGAAAATCCATACACGAGTCGAATATATTCTGAATTGATTAGCTTTCGGCATGAAGGCCTTTTTTAACAAAGGCAATCAGTTTGATAGATTGTAATTGAAATATTTTAGTTACTGCTATAATACTTATCTGCATGATTGGAATATGTTGAACTTTGAAGCTGGGATGAAGATCTATTTTTTTTTTACGAGAATTCAATGTAAAGTTGGTGTAGAAAAATAACCCATGTCAATGACACTTCAGTTTTAAACCTATAATAAACGTTCCTAAATTTGATTCAACATGTTCCTCATTTTTTCAAAAATACAAAACGATGAATCTTAGATTATCCATTAAAACTGAGAAAAAATTCCGATTTTCATGTTTTCTATAGAAATGCTTCCTTATGTGGTCCAGAATACCCTTCGCTTCTCTATATAGTCATGGTTTGGCAAAATAATTCAATAAATATCATGAGAAAACGAGCCAGAGAACGCAAACAAACAATAGCAAACGTTTCGGTCTCGTTTAGTTCCGCTCATACAAGGTAAAGAACAGTGTTGCCAGTTTAACCGTTTTCCGATTAGATTTCGCCGGTTGCGATAGCAAACAGCCGTTCTGCAAAAAAAGAAAACTGATTTTGCTGTAATATATTTGCCTTATTTTATTAAAATTCAAATATATATATATATATAAGTTTCTATTTTTAAAAATTTAGCGATCCTATCTATTAAAACGGCTAGTCTTATCTCGGAAAAAATTTTCATGTCGGACTGTATTATATAAAATTGAAAGATAAGTTTTTGTAAAGAAGGACGTAGCAGGGGATTTTATTCATAAAAGTTTTGTTATGAATGTCTTAAATTTAATCCTGAAGTTTTATTCGCAACACTTAGAAAATAACGAAGGAGAATAAAAGACCACGCATTTCGAAGTGAAGCAAAACTTTCTAGCTAGACAATACCTGTGAATAATTGTGTCATGGTGCCAAGTACTTTATTGTTGCTTATTATTGCTCTCTGACAGGCATGTGTTTTGAATATATGGTCATCAAAATAAAATTTAATAGTTTAATTATTAAAAACTTAAAAAACACCGGCTTGTTCGATATACATAAATAAATAGCGTATTCTTTTCTCGAAATAATGTTGCCTTGTTTTCCGCAGCCTATTCACAGCTTTACGTGTTCATTTCATAAAATATTGCCCTACGACTAGCCAAAAGTGCAATACTTTCTGCTAATATAGTCATTTTGCAGGATAAAAAGCAACCTAGTGCAAATGTTACAATGTAAAAAGGCAAACATTTTCAAGAAAAATAAAACGCCATAAGTTTGTAATTTATCTCTTTTTTTATATTCAAGTAATACAAACATGACTTATGATATAACCCTGCAAAAATGGCGACTAATCCATGCATGCATGTAAGGAGTACTCCCGAAGGACCAAGGAGTACTCCAAAATTAACCACAGTTTATATAAAAAATATGGTCCAATTAACATTGCGATGTCCTAGGGCAGGACCATATACTCCATATCTGCATTACATCAGAGTAGCACTACTACTTTTGTTCTTCACTTCGCATATGCTTTTTTTGAAATTAATAAAAACCAAAGACAAAAATTAAATGTTGCCTCTGACGACATTCGAACCCGAACATGCTGGGAACTAAGAACTAACAGCTAGCATCTCTACACGTTCAGCTACAGCCAGACATGCAAATGTACTTTCAAATGCTTAACTTCAATCACAGTTCGTTAAAATACGAGCAGTGATCGGGTAACAAACAATAAGCTGGCGCAGAGACACGAGATGGTCCGCTACAGCATGACAGAGGAGCACTTTTGTAAGTACTCCAATATACCACAAATAGACTACATGGTCCAACGATTTTTGCAGGGAAAGACCAGCTACGTTTAACGATAATTTGTAATGGAGTATTTACAGCTTAGCAATGTACGTATAACCTTTGTCAACCAAAAATAATTTATCTACTAGTCTTTCTTCTACTTGTGACTTAAGTATTTAAATGAAACATGTGAATTCTAGTTGAAACATTTTAGCAGTTTTTTCGTCCAATTTAGCTGGTCCGCCAAAAATGTTCTGGCAACACTGAAGAAGATCAACTCAAAAATTAGTTGTGTTTTTGTATTCTCCAGCAAAAAATATCCAGTAACTTGCCAGTAACCAAATTTCGGAGAGTAAGCCAATATTTACTCCCAATGAGTGAAATATGGAAGAAAGTACGAAAACGCAAAACCAGCAAGAAGTTGTTAGTTTTATGGACAGCTGATTAGTTTATTATTTTCCGATGCAATTTTCTTAGAAAACTAGTGTTTTCCATCTTATTACATATTTAAATAGGTTTATTTTGTCAATTGCAAAGCACCACAAACAATTATTTTCTTAATGTGATTTACAATAAGCAGCATGCCATCAGCTGTTTTTCTTACTAGCAATTAGTTTCTAGTAAAAATTTATCTGGTAAAAATCCAGTAAAACTTGCAAGTTCAGCTGTCATTTTTGCTCTCTCAATTTCCCCTCTTTTGCTAGTTTTTTGCAAGTTTTTGCGCACGAAAACGATATCCAGTAAAAAACCAGTAAAAATTAGTACTGGATTTACTATATAGTGCGTACGCGAACCCGATATAGTGCGATATAGGTTAGGTAGGTTAGGTAAGATGGCAGCCCTGTGTAACCGGATCTCACTTAGACAATGTAAGATTGTCCTTTGTGATGCCACAATTTGGAAACGGTCCCCTAAACTTTATCGTTGAAATGCTCCGAGCCGATTATGTATTTACTAATACGGCTGATCTCAATACCCCAGAGCTCCTCGGGCGGGCACCTAAGAAGGTAATGTTGAGGTGATTCTACCTCGTCCTCTTCCAGGCAACAGCGACACATAGGGTCCGGTAGAATGTTCCGCCTTACTGCGTGAATACCGATAGGACAGTGACAGGTTAAAACCCCCACCAGAAGTGATAGCTGTGGCTTTGTGAGTGTGAGGAGTGCCCTCGACCGCCCCTGGTCCACCCTCGGCCAAAAGGACCTTGCGTTTGCGTATGTAATGGTATTCGCCCAGCGTTCGGTGAGCTGATATGAGGCCCATCTATCCAAGAGCGAACCGCAAGCGATCAATGACACCCCCAGCCGCTCTTTATCCGGTGATAACATTTCAAGGGTTACTTCCCTGGCCAGCTCGTCAGCCACGCAGTTCTTGCCAATGTCGCTATGTCCCGGAACCCAAATAAGCCTAATGCGAAAGTACTCCGACGCGGCCGGAAGAGAGAGCACACATTCCTTAACCAAGTTAGAGCGCACCTCTAACGAACTCAACGCCCTGATAGCCGCTACTTGATAGCAGCTACTTCCGCATGGAATACATGGAACCTGAACTTAGTGCTGATGGAAAGTTCTCGACAGAAGACCCCTCCACCAACCCTGCCATCAGCTTTCGATTCATCCGTAAAGAAGTTCACCGCACCCCTCCTCCAGAAGGCCCGCCCGGCCCACTCATCCCTTGAGGGAAAGTGGACAGAGAAGAAGCTCCTAGGAGCCGCAACGGTGGTGGCGACATAAAATTAATGGAAATAATTTTTTTTCCTATACCTGTTTTTTATATTAATTGCGTTGAATCTGTACGATCCACAAGCAGTAAAATTTCCCTCTATGAATTTTGAGTTTGTACATAATATAAGAGCTGCTTGTATAAAAAAACGTTATGACATATCTATGAATTCTATCAATTTTGCTTTTAGACAAATGGTACTTAATCTTTTTAAGAAAAACGCGTAAGTTTTAGAACATGTTTTATTAGGATGGCCTCCCAAAAACCAAGAAAAGTGCAAAATCCAATAAGTTTTCTTTAATGGCACAGTATTTGCTTATTTTTTATGTATGTGCGTATTTTATTTGTTATACATACATACATAAATATTTATTTTGTACAAATAAGAGGCGATTGAAATCAAAACCAATTATTTTCATACAAAATAATGGTCAATGGCATTTTTGCAGAGTAAAAATGGCATATTTCTGAAAGAAGTAATCATGTTGACAATTTTTGGAGGACAAAGTTAAAGTGTAGTGTAGGCATTCACATCGCCAGTTTAGAGTGAAAAGTTGCTTAGTCCATTTGTAGAAAATTTTCAGGGGAGGAAAAAAAGTTTCAAAATATTTACTTAAGGAATTTTGCAGAAGGTTCCGTTGCGAAATAAAAGACTTGTGGCCATATTCATAAAATTTAAATTGGATTTATAGAGCTCTATAAAGTGACATTTTCATACAAATTTTCGTTTTATAAAGCAGTTAAAGCGTTCTTTATTTTTTATCAATTTGGGTGTTTGCATTTTTTGTCAGCTTATCAATTTTTCTGTGCCTCTTTTGGGACTTAGTAAATTTTCCTTTAATTGAATATAAACGGGAAGAAATAAAACCAGCACGAAAGTTTATCTTTGGAGACTTTGCGTTTTTAATTTACCTTGCTTCCTATATCCAAATATGAGTTTTGGCAAGTGTGGGCTTAGCAATTTTTTACTGTGAGCGATATTTTAATGAAATGATAATGGTTCTTTTCTTTGTAGGTCTTTCCTTTTTTTCTATGAACACGTTTTCGGGATATTTGCAATTACCGTTATTCCACTTAATCAATTATATCTTTTGAACCAAATGAACAATCGTAATATGGCAAAAGAAAACCAATGAAATTCTCCATATACTGTACATACATAATTTTTCGATAGGCCTGATAGTTTGTGAGTTAGTGGCGTCTGGAGAACAAAACCCACACTCAAATTTGTAATCCAGTGTAATTAGATTAAAAAAAGAAAATTTCGGGAATAAAATTGACACTGAATCGGGTTTCGATACAAATAATTTCTTCCGATACCTACTTAGTACTTACTCGGTTCAAAAGTATCGATACCCAAATTACTTGGTATCGGACGAAAAGTATCGAGTATGCACTTGTATTTACTAGTGTCGTTTGATCCCTATCCTGCAGTAAATTTAACTAATTTGAAAGTAATTTATAAACTAATTTATTTGCAATGGTAACTAATTGGAATTCTCACTATTTTACCTGCAACGAACTCATTTATTTAACATGGCGATGTCCTAGGAAGCAGTCAATTGCCTTTTCCTGCATATATTTTTAACTACTTTAAGGTGCATTTTCCTTAAACAACTCCAAAGTAAATATGTTTCGTTTGTATACGGTTTCGTTCTGCACTTCACAGATGCTTTTTCATACTTTCAAGACACAAATTGTTTCTTTGCGTAAGAAGAGTATCATAATTCGAAAGATTTACTCACTGCATTTTGCTCAAATTAGTCTTTGAATTAGTTCATCTAAAAAAAAATGCTTGCTTTCGGCAGGGTATTTAGATCTAGGTGTGCGATATTGCCAAATATGTGTATGTAACTTTGTATGCACTCATTTGCTCAGAAGTTTTATTTTCGCAAACCATTTGCAGTTAACGTAGTTATACTAGATTTGTATGTTAAGTGGTGGTAGTGCCAGCGTGTGGCATGCATCAATACGTCAATTATCGTAAACACGATGAATCATAGAAAAACTAAGCGTGCAACACGGAACAAAACAGGCGAAATATTGTTCATGTATGTATGTATGTATGTTGCACGCTTGAGTGCAGATGCTTCTTAACAAATGGATACTTATTTATGATTTACAACCGACAGAGAGTGAATTCATACCAAGCAAACAAATACGAAAAATGTAATAAAGTTTGACACCGCTAATCACATTCCACACCTGCATACCACATGCCACACGTTGCTGCGCCTCAAAGCTGGCAAAGGAAAAATTTGCTAACATTTAGCGTCCACAAAGTGACTGTGAAACTCGAATGGGGGAAATATGTGTATACCAGTGTACGGTGCTGCTGCTGAATAGCAAAATTCAGTTGGAAAAGCAGCACAAATTTTTATTTGTGTGCGTGTTTGTAGTTATAATTAACTCAAGTCCTTCTTTGAAATTGAATACAATCGAAAGTGCTTTAAATTACTACATACATATATGATGCTTTCCTGCCTAATCGTATTCTTTACCATTATATCGCCTTCGGTTAATGCCTGCGTCAATTGAATGACTTCAGCGTCGTTATCATTGATTATTTGTTGCTGTTGTTGTAGTATGTCGTCGTTGTCGGCGAGGTCCTCGTATGTCTCGACTGCGTCTTCTAGATTTATGACGAGGTTCTCGCATTCATCCATCTTGAATGCTGGCCTTTCAGTGCTTTAGCCCCCAGGGTAGTGGGTGGGCTGTCGTCTGCTGGCTAGCAGCGCTTTGAGTCGCCGTTTTTGAGTACTTTTCTTAGCTTCACACACGAACACACACAATGTTTAATTGAGAATTGCTACAAAATTTTAGTCTTAAGTAGTATGTTCTCGAAAAGCAAAACACTTTATTGTGCAAGTAACTAAAACTTCCGATACATTTCTGTTGCTTCGCTTTCATATATGTATACTGAACATTTTGCAAATTGTGTACATTGCAAGCGAATACATATTCAATTTTCACTTTGAAAACTGCACCTCACACAATGCTTGAGTGCAGTGTTTCGGCGAAAGTCCTTGAAAATAATTGCTCTCCTTGAGGCTCAACCTTTTCAAGTACTTTTTGGCCAACTTTCCACCACTTTTGCGATTACCACAGTATGCACTTTTCTCCTCTATAAATAACTAGCAAATTCTCCTATTCAAATTCGTTCAATTTTTTATAAATTTTTATTTTCACAATCTTGCTGCCGTTAATTTCAGCGACACAACGGAAATGTTTGTGGCAGCGAAAAGTCTACGAATTTTCCTTTCGTTTCCCATTGCCTGTGGTTTTGTTTGCCTTTTCTGTGGATCTCATGTTGGGCATGGGCATGCGCGTTGCTGGAAGAAATGACATTGCTTGTTTTGGTAAATTTTCGCTTCGCTGTCAACCGGTGGTTGTTGCCTTGGCATTTATCCTGCCGCCGTAGTGCCACCTGTCGTCATTTTCCAGACCATGTTATAGGGTGGATTTATTAGCTTGCAAGGTGGTTGAAAGCAGAATAATCGTTATTACATTTTGGACAGTGTGCTCGGATAAGGTTTAGGGCCGTTTTCACTATCTCCGGTTAGCACTAATCCCCAATTAAACCTCTTTACCGAGGTCACTGTCTCCATGTGCAATAACATTGTGTCGGTAGGTTGGTATTGAAAATGGGCGAAATCGGACTGTAATCACGCCCACTTCCCATATAACGGTAATTTTCGGAAATACGAAAACTGCGATATTTTAGTAACTACTGAAGATTATTCACTCAAAATTGATATTTACAATAATTTTCAGACGAAAAATAAGAATATTATAAATTTTTGGAAAATGGGCGTAGCCACGCCCACTTATGGTTTCATGTGTATATCTTGGTAACCGCTGCACCAATTTCTTCCAAACTTGGCACAATTTAAAATATCGGACAATAACCACGCCCACATCCCATATAACGGTAATTTGGAGAAATACGAAATCTTCGATAAATCAGTAAGTATTATTAGAAATACGTTTATGGTAAAATTTTGGAAAATGGGCATGGCACCGCCCACTTATGATCACATATTTGTATCTCGGTAACCGTTCTACCAATTTGTACCAAACACGGCACGCTATTGAGCTTGCCGCATAAAAGCAATACGTTGAAAATTATTGAGATCGGACTAAAATTGAGGCCGCTTTTCATATAACGGTAAATTTTAGAAATGCTTAAAACTTTAATATTTCGACAAATTTTGGTAATTTATGTTTTAGTTAGAGTAGCTTTTTTAACTCGTTTAGAACGGAATGTTGGTTGGTTGGTTGAAGTGGCGAGTTTAACAACTCCAATTAGCACTTATGCGTGCCGTTTTAAAACCACTACTCGTAATTTAAACCTGAAAAGAAAGCCCGAAAAGAAAGCAGCAGAAGTCGGTTATATATCTCAAACCTAGCCTGTTTAGTTCAAGAACTTAAGAAGTTGCAGTGGGTTAATATCACTTATGTCCGTTAAACCGCAGAAGCAGGGGTTGCCTAGAAGCCTGATTCTAGTCCCACATAGTGCTGGGCAATCGCAGAGCAGGTGCTCCACCGTTTCTTCTGCATCTGGTGAATTGCAACTACGACAAGATATGTGGTGTTCCAGTCCTAGTCTTGCAGCATGGATTCCCACAGCCCAGTGGCCTGTGTAAACGGCAGTTAGTCGAGATAGATCCTTCCTGTTTAGTTTGATAAGAAAAGCAGTGCGTTTTGCGCAGTAGGTGGGCCACAGACTCCTGCAGACCCTACAGGATTGTAGGTTTTTCCACCCACTGCTAGCCACATTTTTCCAGTGCTGAGAGATGCGGCTCTTGATATAGCTCAGAGGCACAAGAACCTCCTTTGCCTCTGAGATATCCAGAGCCGACCCATTCCTGGCCAGCTCGTCAGCCATCTCGTTGCCATGAATTCTGCTGTGCCCCGGCACCCAGATCAGTGCAACTTCGTGCCTGTCGGCTAAAACCATAACGTTCTCCCTGCACTGTTTTATTATGCTGGAGGTGATGCTTACAGAGCCAAGTGCCTTGATCGCTTCCTGACTGAACGGAATGTATTAGGTTATATTCAAATTCGGAAAGGGCCTAAAATAAAGTTGGGTTAATAGGAATTCCTCAACTTATATATGTGATGTAATTAAGTTATTTACTAAAGAACAAACTTATCCTCTTTTATCAAATTATTTATCTTATTATTTTTCACCTATTTTTTCTTTATTTATTTCTTTAATTGTTTGAATGTGTATTTCTTTATTTGTTAAATTATTTTCTTTTAATTTAGGATTATTATTTTTTTGTGTTCAACTAGTTTAGGTGTTTATACAGTTATATTTGCTGGTTGGTCTTCTAATTCTAATTATGCTTTATTAGGGGGATTGCGTGCTGTTGCTCAAACTATTTCTTATGAAGTTATAATAGCTTTAATTTTATTATCTTTTGTTTTTTTAATTGGAAGTTATAATATATTAGATTTTTATTATTTTCAATATTATATTTGATTTGTTGTTGTTTTATTGCCTATTAGTTTGGTTTGATTTTGTATTTGTTTAGCTGAAACTACTCCTTTGGATTTTGCTGAAGGTGAATCTGAATATATATATAAGATTATCTTTCAAAAAGAAAAAAAAGTTAATCAAATCGGTTAAGGCTCTGGACTATTTTGGACAGTAAATTCCAGTTTGGCACCACTGTGAGGCGCACTATGGAGGATTGGGGGAAAAGTTTTGCACAAAGAGGAAAATCTTTCGATCCAAAACAGATAGCGAAATGACTCGAATACCATTTTGTAGCTGTTGTAATGCAGAGTTTGAGAAAACTATACAGACATAAATACCTTGGCCTTTTGACCTTCAAATTCAAGGTGAAAGGTAGATCTCATAACCTTTCGCTCCAGAGTTTTATCGGAGTGAAGGTTCGGGTTCGTATGTCGTCAGAGGCAACATATAATTTTTAATTATTTTCTTTTTTTGGTCTTCCTTAATTACGAAAAAGCATCTGTGAAGTGAAGAACAAAATCAAATGACGAAGAAAATTTATTCAAGTTGAACATTTGATGACAAGTTTACAGAACGGCAGTAGCTGAGTGTGCAGGGATGCCTGCTGTTATTTGCAAACTTTTAGAATATCCAGACATTTATGTTTTGTATCTCCGAACTATAAAAAAGCAACTGTGAAGTGCAGAGTATTGATTTTTAGTAGTACTCGTTTGAGTTACTTTTTTGTGTGACTTATGTTTATTCACATTTTGAAATAGCATAAGCAAAGCAAAGAGTGTAAAATGGAATTGAATGCAATAATAATAAGCTAACAGCTTACACCTAAAATACAATGCGCATGCAATATTGCCACCGCATCTAAACTTTTGCTCACCGAAGCCAAAAGCATTTCACATTAATAAAAGGTAATCATAGTGGCGAATTCAAACAAACTGTGAACGCAAAGAAAAAAAATACCAAGATATGCAAGCAAAGTAAGAAATTGCAAGAATTTTATAACAAAAAGTTCTCGACTAATAAAAGTTATGCATATTAAAACTACGCGCATTGTCACTCACCTCTGTAACATCATGGCATACCACCGCAAAGTGATTGCTGTCGTTTAACCTTTCACAATCCCCGCTGTCTGCAGCAACTTCAGTCGCATTTTCGACACCAATATTGACTTTACACTCTGCAGCGTTTATTAATTGCTTTAGGTGATGCTCTTCGCACTTCACCACCGTTATTTTGGCATTATTATTTGTGTCAGTGGCAGTCTTGTCGCCATCATTCTGCTCCTCTGGTTGCCACTGAATATGAGCCAAACAATGTTGTTGATTTTTATGAGCATCAACGGTAGTTATATGAGTGTTGTCAACTAGAATAACCTCAGTAGCCACATTATAGAGGTGGCGTCTCTCAAATAGTTGCTCGTTCTCAACGCTCTCCTCATCTCCTTCAGCGTCGTTGTCATAGTCGCCATCGCCGTCGCCGTCGTCATCGTCGTCTGTGGTGCTAACAATGGTACAATAATCGCAGTGACTTACATTGGCATACATTACCGTGCCCGTCCTTACGTCATCAACAACATTAGTAATTTCAACTGAAGTAACACAATCTTGCCGCAACTTTTCTGCCTCACTTTCTATGGCAGTGCAATTCGCTACTGTGCTACTTGTAACATTTGTTGTTGCCACAATGTTTGCTGTCCATTGGTTTGATTTGTTTTCATTGCTTTGTTGCGTTGTTGTTGATTGTTTTTCCACAGTTTTCGATCGTTTTTTGTTTTGACTCTTCTGATGGCTCTGATTCGCATTTGGATTCTGACTTTCATTTGAATGTTGATTTTGCTTAGCCGACTGTGTGGCGCCGACAACTGTAGCCTTCGCATCATTATCCTCATCCGTTGACTTTGACGACTGTGGTGTGACGCCTTTTGACTTGGCTTGCGCCTTCTTCTTCGACTTCGCTTTCGGCTTTTTCTTCTTGCCGCTCGCATAGTAATATTCACATAATTGATTTCCATGCTCGTCCTTGAGCGCAATGTATTCGGTGCTTTCAGCAAATTTACTCCAAATTTGATTTGCTGCGGCCAAGTCCGTTTCGGATAATGCGATTGTTAGTACAGATGGATGCTTTGACACACACTTGCCCATAGGTGCTGGCGTTGGTCACTCGTCAGTATGACAAAACAACGTTGCAGTGAATGTGGGTGTAAATGTGTTTATGTAGAAGTGCGTGTAGGTACGTTGACAAGTATGTGCCGCATAAGGCTTGATATTTTTGTTGTTATAACTGCTGCTATTGCATGTGTATGGATTGTGTATGTATTTGTTTACTGGTCAGAAAATTCACTTTTATTTGCTATCTATCCGCTTTGCAAGCAAATAACTGTTGGCTTACTATAAAACTCAGTATCCTTTATATCAAAGATGTTGCACTACTTTTGGTTGTCTATTTCCGCCACTGCTTTATAACTTTTGTGTGTAATCTTCATTATCAGGTAACTCAACTGGCTCTTGGCAAAATGTTCAACATTTTTATTGGCGTCGTAGTTATGGCACAGTTTTGTATCAGAAATTCCGACAGCAATATGATTTTGGCAACCAAAAATACTTTTAAATTCGGATTGTATTTGCGAATGTTGAATACAAGTTTTTTGAAGATGTTTTTCCGAAAAGGTTGATTGGCACATAAATATCCTTTTTAAATTTTAAATTGGTCCACAAAACTGAAATTGAAAAAATAATTGGTGTTGTCGTTAAAAAATCATTGGTACTAAGGATAAAATCATGCAC